AAAAATATACAGCTTTAAAAAAAAAGTTTCACTGGTCTGTCATCCCTCTCTTCTCCTTTCCCCCTCCTTTAGAGGAGAGATTCATGTTTTTGTTAAGGAGCTCATAACCCTTCCTTATAGAACAAGGCAAATTTTGCTTAGGAATCCACCATCTTAAAAAAAAAAGTACCTTTATTTTCTTCACATTTTCTAGCTCCTCACCTTCAAATTTGTGTTAAAGCAAAATATTAATAGTAGAAATAGCTGAAAGTGGTCTAATTTTTGTTAACCTGAGGTTACACATATATAATATGTGAAATAAAGGAGTTAATCTAATTTGTGTTGTTTGCATAACATTATAGGGGGTTCATTCTTAACCTACATCATCAATTTCTCATTCTCATGGGATCGTTCCCGTTAGCCTATAAGAACATTCTAACTGGCAGACTAGCTGTCTCCCATTCCTCACTGCCTCGTCTCTCTTAAAGCCACTATAATTCAGGCTTTTGCCCACATAGCTTCACCAACTCTATGCTTGCCGAGATCATCAATCTCACATTGTCAAAGCCACCGGTCAGTTTCAGTCTTCATTGTACTTGACTCTGAGCCTTGACTCCTCTCTTTGATGCATGTCATTTACCTTCACCGTCTCTTATTTTCTTTCTGCTTCATTAATTGTTCATTCTCAATCTCTTCTGTTGGTTCTTTTCCCTGTCCTCTCAATTTGGAGTTTCCCTTTTCTGTTTCATTTACACTCACTTCATGGTGATCTTACCTGGTCTTATGGTTTTAATTACCATCTATACATTAATTATTTTGAAATTCACATTTCCAGCCCTGGCCTTTCTTCTGAACTCCAGGCTTAAATATCCAACTGCGTATTTAACATCATGCTTGGATGTCCAATAGGCATCTGAAATCTAACACATCAGATTAGACTCCTGATCTTCAACACCTCATCTAAGCTAGTCTTCCATCTACTTTTTTTGGAATTCCATCCTTCAAGTTGCCCATGCCAAAAACATGGGATTGCCCTTGATTCTTCTCTTTCTTTCACATTTGCATATCACACTGCACACTAATGCCATGGGTTCATTGGCTAACATTTGGAAACATGCTTGTTATGCCATAGAGTAACATCCCTCTCAAGGAAGTTTAATCTAAGGTACAATGAACCCCATTTGTGTGAGAGGGACTGATGTTGACTTTCCCTCACACACCCTAGGAAGAAATACACAATAAAGCCTAATAAACATATTTAACACATTGTTGCTATGACCCAAAGAAGCTGGATAAGATACTCATACCTAATCTCAAACCTCATTGTTGTGAAGGCATTATTTTGCATGAAATAGTAAGACTCCTTAAAGGCAGCAGTATTTTCTTTTACATTCTACAAACTCCTACCCCAGAGCATTTTCTCTGTCTACCTTTGTGAGTGCATGATAAAGGCCAATTGAAGAAATGAATTTTCAGTTTCCAAAATAGTAATCTGGTGCTACAAACATTGCTTCAAGGTCTAAATGTAGGTCAGAGGAACAGGCAATACCATTCAACTCTTCTGGCCACTTGGCCACTCTGTGATCCTGAAGAAGCATAAACTACTTTCAGCACTGTAGATTAAAAAAAGAAAGCCCACAACAACATTCACTTTTCTGAGCAATTCTGATGCCTCTGAAATGTGACATTCTGCTGTTGTTTCCTTTTACTGTTTTTAATTACTGGGTCTATTTGCATGAAATGAGGATCTGGGTTGCCTACGAGCTCATCTGCTCCTATCGCATATTCCTCTCTTCAATATGCATACTTCAATGCAGTTTTGCTTGCTGCCTCCAACATTTTGGCAGATCTACCCCTCCTCCTCTTTCATTGTCCTCCCATCACTCCCCAGGAGAGAAGTGTATTTTTAAAATACCTGATCAATAGGTTTTGGGAAGCAGCCGAAGCATGAGGAGGTCATAGGAGTGTGAATACGCCACCAGGGGTTCTAAGAGAAGGAATGGCAACAGGCCATCCCAAAAGATTGTCTGGGAAAGGAGAGACAGTCTGCAGCTCCCATTTAAATACTCTTGTTCCTTTGCACAGGCTTTTGTCTTGGTGGAGGTTCTTAGCCTGGTTCTTTAGCATCACTTTGAGTTGAAAGAGATCCAGACCAGTATTGATAATTGCTTTTTAGACCAAATAATGTTCTGTTAAAATTGAGCTTGGTTCAAAGATCTGAATAGTGTCTTAACTTTCCTGGTCATAGTGCTGCTGTTTAGATCTTATGCTGATAACACCTTTGCTGAGGGTTTGAATCAAGAAGAAAACAATTTTTATTATAATGACTATAAAAAATGACTGTTCCATGACCAGACAAAGGTATGCTGTTGAGCGAAGAAGGCACCTAATGAGAATGTGGAAATGATCATGTACAGAGCAATATCATTATTGAAAAGCCAGCTCAGGAGGGGGGACTGGGCTATTTCTGTAACACTTTTCATGGCATCATTTAAAAATCATAGCTTTTTTTAGTAGTTCCCTACATGCCACCACAAGGATGTCTCCCCTGTGAATTTCTAGGTTTTGTTTAATGGTCATTTATAGCTATCCTTTCTGTACCAGAGAAGATGATCCATGACTCCAGTCCTACTTTTTCTTTCCTTTGGTTATTGGAAAAAACAAAAGTTGTTCATCTTCTTGGCTTGTGACATTTAATTCTGTGTTTTTTTGTGTAATATGTGATCCTTCTAAAGATTTGCTTATATTTTTCTGCATTTAGTAGTTTTTCCTATTTCATTTAATTAAGTTTATTTCATCAAATTCTAGTGAGTTGATCATTACAAATAAGCATAATATATCAGGCAATTAAAAAAAATTCCTTTGGCTCTGCATGTTGCAGAATAGGCTGTGGGTCAGCATTTTCTATTGTCCTTAGCTGTTTCTCTATTATACATAGTGATAAGATTCTACTCCAAGGCTAATCTTATATCATTAAAATGTCCTTCTAGGGAATTCTTCTTTGACTGAAGAAGCTTGGTGGTGGCATTAATTGCAAATAAAAGACCATGACCTATTGTAGAGTGTAGAATATCTTCTTAGAAGTGTCTGCCTTCTTTATTGCAAACTCTCAGCAGTGACATAAAGATCTTTGTCCTGTGCAGATTCAGTTACAACCAGCAACAGAAGGCATATGTCCACTCTGAACAAGAGAACATTTATTTTCACATTCCATGGCTGATGTTCAGTGATAACATTTTTGCATATCCTAAAATTTTTATGTAGATGTTGTCTAAAGTCAAAAAGTGCTTTTACAATAATCTCCTTTGTGAATAGAATTTATACTCTTGGCTTGTTGCCTTTTCAATTTGCCTGTCAAGTCCTGAATAGTAACCTTTGACAGTGCATGAGCAGAAACAGCAAAACCAGAGGTTGTTTCCTCTGTTCACAGCAACATTGTTCACCATCTTTGCTGTTCTGAACTTATGCCATTCCATCTTAAATAAAAATACAACATTAACATTTTATAAATTAATTACTTAACTTTGGTTTTTTAGAAACAGTCTACTCTATTTTCCAAGTAAAGCTGCATAGCTCTGTCTCTGGGTGACAAATTAAACCTGCTATGAATGGACATTAGGTAGAAAAGGGGGAAAAACTTCCCTCTGATTAATGTATTTTTCTCATATTATTGTGTCATTAAAAACTTTGTAAAACCTTTATATGACTTTATAAAAATGAAGCAAAAATGAAAGCAAGATATTGTATATGAATATGGAGTGAGGAATAAACAGAAGAAATATTCTTTGTCCTGGAAAGAACTATAAAATCACCTGTCTCCACATTGTCAAGGTGAATCTTATATTGGGAAATTTAAGCTACATCAATGTAATACCTATAGAAATAATTAAAATAGGAAAGATCCAAATTTAAACATTTTTCTAAAGGCTTTTTTGATACTTCATAAAACTGGTTGGAATAAATTATTTTCTATTTTTAGATCGTTAATTTGGTTATGACAACCAAATTGGTTTGTGTATGCGGATACAGCTTTACTAATAATTTAGTTTCTCATCAAGTGAAATGACCCAACAAACCCCAAGTCTACCTATTGTAATATGGAATTAATTTTCCTTGAAGTTATTTATTTTTTTTCCTTTTTGTCTTTTTCCGTGTCCGGCAACGGATCGCAACCCTCAGTGTTGCCCCCGTACCGGACCGGGACCGGCAACGGGATCGCAACCCTCAGTGTTGCCCCCGTACCGGACCGGGACCGGCAACGGGATCGCAACCCTCAGTGTTGCCCCCGTACCGGACCGGGACCGGCAACGGGATCGCAACCCTCAGTGTTGCCCCCGTACCGGACCGGGACCGGCAACGGGATCGCAACCCTCAGTGTTGCCCCCGTACCGGACCGGGACCGGCAACGGGATCGCAACCCTCAGTGTTGCCCCCGTACCGGACCGGGACCGGCAACGGGATCGCAACCCTCAGTGTTGCCCCCGTACCGGACCGGGACCGGCAACGGGATCGCAACCCTCAGTGTTGCCCCCGTACCGGACCGGGACCGGCAACGGGATCGCAACCCTCAGTGTTGCCCCCGTACCGGACCGGGACCGGCAACGGGATCGCAACCCTCAGTGTTGCTCCCGCACCTCGCTCAGCCAGTGAGCAGGAACCGGTCTGTATGTGGGATCCGAACCCTCGGCGGGAGCGCCACCACGCTCCCAAGCGGTGCACTGTAGCAGTGCGCCACCGGGCCGGCCCTCCTTGAAGTTATTTTGAATGGAGCTGATAGGCTTATAGCTATGTTTTGCAAATCTCTGAAAGCAATAAAACAGAGAAATCTTTGCATAGCATGGTAGAAGATGCTGTAGCTGTGTATCTTTAATAAATAATGCTCATTTTGACCTGTTTATTGAAAAATGTCTTTATTAACTGCACAAAAACATTATGATGAAAATAATAAAAGTTAAAAACAGTTACTAACAATTGTACAGGCATTTAAGTAATTGCTATGCTTTTTTTTTTTTCTTTAACAGTAAAAATCCAGGTGGAGGAAACAGAAGATGATAATGAGGAAATCTCAAGTAAGTGGTGACGGGCCCACCTGGGATATGTTTCCTGTGGAACAGCAGTCAATTCAGGCGATTCATCCTCTTATCTTATGGGCTTGAATTACCACATATAAGCACAGGATTGTGTGTGGATGATTTTTGATGGTCTCACAAAAGGGATAAAGTTTAGCAAATAGAATCTTCATTGTAGCTTCTATTCAACTGGCAAACACACACATCCACCTAATCCATGTTGCCCATGATCAAGTAGATGGTAGCCCAGTAAATTTTTTTTTTTTTTTTTTTTTTTTTCTCTCCTATTTTCCCTAGAAGAGTCTTTGACTTTAAAGACTCTTCTCTGGGATTGGATCTGTACAACAACAACTGGCTATTTTGACTGAACTGACCAAATGGTTCAATTAAAATGAATGAATGAATGAATGAACATGTTCTGTTGTACCAGATTCATGGGTATTTTGTCCAAATTACTTTGTTGTTTCTACTTTTTGAAGCTCAGCCTAAGAGCCTGAATTGTGACTGCTTTCCAGGCATCCAGAACACTCATGAACTGGAACATGAGAAAGACCATTTTATGAACAGAAGCTTTGATTTTACTAAAAATGAAAGAAAGAGCAGCAACTAAAGAAGAGTTCACCTAGAGGGACATCAAGACTGTCGGTTTAATATTCTGAGTACAATGTGGCAGCCAGGGAACATGCAGAATGCTGATTGTTTTCATTAATTAGGTGCCTCCTAAATGAGAACAGCCCAGAATCTCATACAGACCCTAGGTATCATGACTTGAATAGTGAACTGAGTCCATTCCAAAAGGTAGCATTGTATACAAGTCTGCATTTAGTAGACAACTATAAAATGTTCTTCTTTTAGAATTTCAGTATTTGTAAACTAGATAAAGCACTAAAGACTGCTTTTTGCTTCTAAATGGTAATGGATCAATTTAATAGTACATATTTTATCTGTGGTAAAACTATATAAGTTTAATAGTTTAGCCTTTTAGGTTTTTTTAAAATGACATCAAGAAAAATTATTTCTGTATTCTCCCCCCATAAATCTATAATTAATCTTTAAAAAATTCTCAAAAGCTATTTTAAAATTTAATTCCATTGTGGTTGAAATTATGCTTTGTATAATGCCAACCCTTTTAAATGTATTGACACTTGTTTTATGGACCAGAATACAATTTATTCTGGTGAAATTTTGAAGTGCACTGAATGTGTGTTCTGTTGTTGTTGGGTATAGTGTTCTGTAAATGTTAGTTGGGTCAAATTGGTTGATAGTGTTTTTTAAGTCTCCAGTATCTTTATTATTTATTTATTTTATTGGGATAAGAACACTTAACATGAGATCTATCCTCAACAAAATTTTAAGCATACTGTAGAGTATTGTTAACTACAGACACAATCAGCAGATTAGATCACTAGAACTTATTCGTCTTGGTCAACTAAAACTTTATATGCGTTGAACAAAAACTCTCCATTTCACCTTTCCTCTGGCCCCTCACAATCACCATTCTACTCTCTGCTACTATGAGTTTGCTAATTTAGATACCTCATATAACAAAATCATGCCGTATTTGTCTTCTGTGCCTGACTTCTTTGACTTAGTTTAATGCCTTCAAAGTTCATCCATATTGTTACACAGGGCAGGATTTCCTGCATGTTAAAGGCCAAGAAATATTAATACCATTGTATGTAAATACCACATTTTCTTTATCTATTCATCTGTTGATAAACATTTAGGTTGTTGTCACATCTTGAGTATTGTGGACGAAGTGCAGTGAACACTGGCGTGAGAACCTCTCTTCAACATCTTGATTTCAATTCCTTTGGGTAAATACCTGAGTGTTGGGTTACTGGATCATATGAGTATGGTAGTTCTATTTTCAATTTTTTGAGGAACCTCTATACTGTTTAACATAGTGGCTGCACCATTTTACATTCCCACCAACTGTGTCCATTGTTCCAATTTCTCCACATCCTTGCCACCACTCGTTGTATTTTGTTGTTTTGATAATAGGTGTGAGCTGATATCTAATTGTGGTTTTGATTTGCATTTCCTTAATGATTAGTGATATTGACCATCTTTTCATATACCTGCTGACCATTTGTATGTCTTCTTTGGAGAAATTCAAGTCCTTTGCCCAATTTTTAAGTAGGTTTATTATTATTATTAAGTGGGTCATATTATTTCCTTACATATTTTGCATATTAACCCCTTATCAGATATGTGATTTGCAAATATTTACTCCCATTCTATAGGTTGCTTTTTCATTCTGTTGATTATTTTTTTTTCCTATGCAGAAGCTTTTTAGTTTGATGAAGCCCTGCTTTTACTATTTTTACTTTATTTTGCCTGTACTTTTGGTGTCATATTTAAGAAGTCATTATGAAGAAAAATGTCATGAAAATTTTCCCTTATGTTTTCTTCTAGGAGTTCTATAATTTCAGGTATTATGTTTCAGTCTTTAATCCATTTTGAGTTGGTGTTTGTATATCATGTAAAATAAGGATCCAATTTTATTTTTTGTATATGGATATTCAGTTTTCCCAACACCGTTTTTTTAAAGATGACCGGTAAGGGGATCTTAACCCTTGACTTGGTGTTGTCAGCACCATGCTCACCCAGTGAGCTAACTGGCCATCCCTATATGGGATCCAAACCCTTGGCCTTGGTGTTATCAGCACTGCACTCTCCCGAGTGAGCCACAGGGCCGGCCCCCCAACACCGTTTGTTGAAGAAACTATTTTTTCTCCATTGTATATTCTTGGAAACCTGTTGAAGATCAGTTGATTGTATATACATGGGTTTATTTTGGGGCTCTTTCTTCTGTTTCTTTGGTCTATATGTCTGCTTTTATGCCAATATTATACTGTAGTAATTACTGTAGATTTGTGTATTTTGAAATCAGGTAGTGTGATGCTATTATCTTTGTTTTTCTTTTTCAAGGTTGTTTTGGCTATTTGGGATTTTTTGTGGTTCCAAATGAACTTTAGAATTGTTTTATCTATTTCTGCAAAAAAATGCCATTGGTATTTTGATTGGGACTGTGTTGAATCTGTAGATCACTTTTGGTAGTATATCCATTTTAGCAATATTAGGTTTTCCAATCCATGATTATGGTGTGTCTTTTCATTTATTTGTATCTTTTAAAATTTATTTCATCAGCATTTTGTAGTTTTCAGTGTACAAGTCTTTTACCTCCTGGGTTAAGTTTATTTGTTTTTTTTTTAATACTATTTTAAGTATAATTATTTTCTTATTATTTTTTCAGATAATTGGGTGTAGCATATAGAAATGCAACTGATTTTTGTATGTTGATTTAGTATTCTGCAATTTTACTGAGTTCATTTATTTGTTCTAAGAAATTTCTGTGTAGTTTGTAAGGTATTTTACATATAAGATCATGTCATCTGCAAACAGATATTTCTTTTTTTTTTTTTTTTCCTTTTTTTGTCTTTTTTTGTGTCAGGCAACGGATCGCAACCCTCAGTGTCGCGCCCGTACCGGACCGGGACCAGCAATGGGATCGCAACCCTTGGTGTTGCGGCCGCACCTCGCTCAGCCAGTGAGCGGGAACCGGTCTGTATGTGGGATCCGAACCCTCAGCAGGAGCGCCACCGCGCTCCCAAGCGGTGCACTGTAGCAGTGCGCCACCGGGCCGGCCCTGCAAACAGATATTTCACTTCATCCTTTCTTGTTTGGGTGCTTTTTTTGCCCTTTTTCTTGCCTAATTGCTTCGGCTAGAACTTCCAGAATGATGTTATACAGAAGTGGCAAGCGTTGGCATCTTTGTCTTGTTCCTGATCTTCAAGGAAAAGCTTTCAGTTTTTTACTGTTGAGTATGATAGTTTTAACCTTTTCATATATGGCTTTATTATGTTGAAGTAATTTATTTCTATTCCTAATTTGTTGAAACTATTTATAATAAAAGGGTGTTCAATTTTGTCAAATGCTTTTTCTGTATCTATTGAGATGATTATGTCATTTTTATCCTTTATTCTCTTAATATCATGGATCACATTATTTGATTTTTGTATATAGAATCATCCTTGCATCCCAGAGATTAATCCCTCTTGGTCATGCTGTATACTTTTTAAAAATATGTTGTTGAATTTGGTTTGCTAGTATTTTCTTGAGAACTTTTGCATGTGTATGTTTATTAGGAATATTAGCTAGTAATTTTCTTTTCTTATAATGTATTTATCTGGCTTTGGTATCAGGGTAATGATGGCCTCATATAATGAGTTCTATTGAAAAGTTTAAGAAAGATTGGAAATAATTCTTTAAATGTTCAGTAGAAATCACTAGTGAGACTTTCAAGTCCTTGTTTTTCTGTTTGGGAGGTAATTGTTTTACTAGTTATAGGTCTGTTCAGATTTCTATTTTTTCATAATTCATTCTTGGTAGGTCCCATGTTTTGAGGAATTTATTTTTTCTAGATTATCCAATTTTTTGGTGTTTAGTTGTTCATAGTAGTCTCATACGATCCTTTTATTTCTGTGACATCAGTTTTTAGGTCTCCTCTTTCATTTTCGTTTTATTTATTTGTATCACCTCTCTTTTCTTCCTTAGTCTAGCTAAGATTTTGTCAATTTTGTTAATCTTCAAAAAACCAACTCTTAGTCCATTGATTTTTCTATTGCTTTTCTAGTTTTTATTTCACTTATTTCCTCTCTAATCTTTGTTATTTCCCTCTTCTGCTACCTTCGGGCTTAGTTTGTTCTTCTTTTTCTAGTTCCTTGAGGTGTAAAGTTAGCTTTTGCATTTGAGATTTTTTCTTCTTTTATAATGTAGGTGTTTATCACTACAAACTTCCCACTTAGTACTACTTTGCTTGCATCGCGTAAATTTTAATATGTTGTTTTAAAATTTTCATTTGTCTCAAGATATTTTTTGACACATTGATTGTTTAAAGAGTATGTTGTTTAATTTCCACATATTTATTACTTTTCCAGTTTTCCTTCTGCTGTTGACTTCTAGTTTTATTACATTGTGGTCGTAAAAGATATTTGATGTGGTTTCAATCTTAAAATTGGTAAGACTTCTTTTGAATTATGTGCTCTATTCTGGAGAATGTTCCATGTACGCTTGAGAAGAAAGTGTATTCTCCTGATGTTGGGCCAATGTTCTTTTTCCATGTTAGGTTCATTTGATACATAACATTGTCCAAGTCTGCTGTTTTCTTATTGATTTTCTGTCTACATGTTTTATCCATTATGGAATGAGGGGTATTGCAATTTCCTAGTATAATCGTGTTGCTATTTCTCGTTTTAGTTCTGTTAATGTTTATATGTTTTAGTTCTCTGATGTCAGATGCATATATATTTATAATTGTGATATCTTTCTGGTAATTGATCCTTTTATTATTATATAATGCTCTATTTGTCTTTTGTGACAGTTTTAATGTAATGTCTATTTTGACTGATATAAGTATAGCATAGGGGCTGTGACTCTCTGTTTTTATGATTTGAGTTAGACTTGTTCATTTGACCTAGAAGTTTTCTGCTTATGGAGATCAAGTAAGAATTTAGTAGGTTTCCTATCTATTTGACTTATAGGAACACGATGATTAACTAACTAATACCATAGATCTACACAAGTGAGACTATTCTGATTATTGATTTGCCTCTGCTGTCCATTATAGTAACTACGCCCACCTTGCCTTTGTTGGTCGAGTGCCATCACTTGGCCCCTGCCACCCAGGATCCAAATTAGTCCCATTGCCTTTAAGTGTTTCAATTGCCTGACTGCAGTTCCCATTGTAAGGTCCAGTCTACAGAGAAGAGCAATCACAGAGCTCTTCAGGGATGCTGGGGCTCCTCTCAAAAATCTATTTCTCAAGGTATTTGTAAAAGGTATGTCTTCTGGAGACTCCCAGTGTGGATGAGTAGGTTTTACATGACAAAGCCACTCTAGCATTCCAAGCTCCCTAAGCCTTTGAATCCTCTTCTCTCCAGTTAACCAAGGGAGATCAGGTATCTCTAACTCATAGTGGGCTGTCTTTTGATCCATATTTCAGCCAGCCAGCCAAACAAACAGCACCTTTCTTAACTTCCCAAGCTACAACATTAAATGTAGAATCTCTGCTTAGTGGGTCCATATCAATAAATTTGGCCTGATCCAATTTTATGTTTCTTCTGCCATTGTCCCACACCCTTAATATCCATTCCTGTATACATTTTCCCAGTTTCTGCCTGTATGGAGTAGAAAACTCATGTAGCTCTTTTGGAGTGTAACACATTTCCTCATGGGTCACATTTTGTACCTCACCTTTAGGGGCCTGCCAGGCCTTGAATCTAGTTATAGGTCTAGAATCAAAGATAGGTGGTGGGGGTGGGTCCTGAGGAGAATCAGCATTGCCTTGCTCACTTACTGCCTCAGGGGCAGCCATTCCTGTTTCCTTAGGCAGTGCAGAGTTAATCCCCTCAGACAGAAGTGGAAAAGCTGCCATCTCTGGGGATGAGGGTGGGGAGTTCATATCTACCAAACAAGACTCAATGGAATTTAGGTGTCCCATGTCCTCAGCCTCATCAGGGTCTTCCCACAAATCCCCATCCCAACTTGCAGGATCCTGTTCCTTCCCAACCAATGCCCTCACTTTAGCAGTAGATACCCTGATAATTCAACTGCTGCTGTAGTTCAGCCAATCTTGTGATGAGGACTTGTGTTTGATTTTCAGCCCTGTGGGTACTGGAGAGAAAATTCTGGCCTAGAACAATTTAGAAACTTTTAGGTCATCTATGCAGTGTTTGAGCTGAGAACTGGCATCCCCAAGCTCTTCCTTTTCTTTCCTCACATTGTCCAGCAATGTTAGGAGCTACCAACCAATGTCATCATTAATATAATATTTGGATTTCCACAAATACTCAAAGGTATTATGTATAGAGTCACTGAATCCCTTGCCTTTTACAAGCAGTGAATTAGGAGTATCAAATAGACTTTTTCTGCATATCTCTTTAAACAGTTCATGCTGTGGACTATCAGTGCTCTCTGTATTATAAGAAGTTGAACTATTAGCATGTCGGGGTCTAAAGCCCTGAAACCAATTGAAGACATTCATCTTAAAGATTCTTTTTCTCTAGAACGACTCCCAGTGCCAAAATCTGTATTAGTCTGGGTTAGCCAGAGAAACAGAACCAATAGGATATGTGATAAATATATGAGAAGGGATTTACCAGGGGTACTGGCTCACGTGATTGTGAAGGCTGAGGAATCCCATGATAGACTGTCTGCAAACTGGATGCTGGTAGTGTGGCTCAGTCCAACTCTGAAGGTTCGGAACCAGAGAAGCTGATGGTGTCCTTAGTGTAAGTCTTGGAACCCCAAAACTGAAGGGTCTTAAGCTCTGATGTCCGCAGACAGGAAAGAAGAGTGTGGCCCAGCTCCAGTGATAGAGAAAGATACACCTTTTTTCTCCTTTTTTGTTCTGTCTGGGCCCCTAGCAGATTGGATGGTTCTTATCCAGTCTACTAAGGCTCTCATGCTAATTTCTTCTGGAAACACCCTCATGGATACACCTAAAGAAATAGTTTTACCAGGTTTCTCAGTATTGCCTAAAGCAATCAAGTTGGCACCTAGAATTAACCTTCATGGGTAGTCACCAGAAAAATCAGAACTTAGAAGATGTGGCATAGTCCTTTCCTTCCCTCCCCAGGGAGAAGCTGGGAGCTGGTGGGTTTCTCCTGTTAATAAGGTCCTGGGGGTGGTGGTGAGAGGGGAGATTAAGGTGAGAGGGCATTTCAAATTTTCCTACCAGCTTTGATGTGGCTGATCTTGTGCTTACCCAGGGTACAGACTCCTCTCAACTGGTTTCAGGATTTCTCACAAAGGGAACTTGTCTGCATATGATTGCTGAACCTTTGTGTCCATGCGGGGAAGGAGAGTCCAGGGCTTCCTCTTCTGTCATCTTGCTGATGTGACCTCAGTTTAACCTTCATACAAAAAATACTAAAATTAGAGTACCAGGTGGCTGCTTTAGTTCTTGAGTTATTTGTGGGTAAAATTCTTTATTGACCCCTGTCAGGCTCTTATTATTTCTATAATTAGTAACTAACATGAATAATCAAAGCTGGGAAAATTTTTAGAATGCCAGAATGAGGTTCACATAACATTTGCCACAATATTTAACAAACAAAAATTCATTCTTGGTTTTGATGACAGAGGACAGTTTCAAATACCAGTTAGAAAAGTTATTTTCCTGTTTCTCTCTGCTAGCTAAAATCCAGGTATAGGTTATATTTAGATCTTAGATCTGAAATATTAATAAAAAGGTTTCAATTAGTGATGTTGAAAGATACTTTAAAAATAATAAAATTATGACTAATATATATGTAAAAAACCATATTTAATTAATAAATGAGAAAACTTATGAGGTGATATAATTAGCTGAAAGGAAAATCCAGATAACAGACACATTCGTAGATCAGAAATATTAAAATGATTGTACAAATGGAAGCAAAACTTTTTTGGGAGAGGGGATTGTCTCTCCAGTAGACAGAATTTATTTGCCTGTTTACAGATAAATATTACTTTGTATTCCTATCCAGTTGTCTATAATTTTCAGATTTGTAAAATAGTTCCCATAGAATCAGAATCAGATAACACGTAAAGGTATACTACAGACATTTCGTAGTTTTCAACTGAAGTACAATTTTTTTCCTACAATAGCTTCTATTTAAGAGAATAGTGATAACTGTGATTAATATTTGATTTTTTTTTCTAAATAGTTTATTCTAAATCATAGAAGAAGTTAAGGAGCAATAGAAATGGAAGAGAAGTAGGAATGTGTGTTATAAATAACTCTGTGGAAGAAGGAAATGATTGCTCTCAGTATGCTTTCCTTGGAAGCTTCCTAAGAAGTTATGGACATACGAGGCATTCATTGTTTGTTGATAAATAAGATAAAATAATGTTGCCATTATTTTCAATTTTACACTAAATTTATATTTACATGTTATTTATTTCTGTTCATAAGGATAGAATTAGCAAGGAAATGTGCATAGCGCCTTTTTGTTTTTTTAAGGAAGGGACAAGAATATTTAGAAAAAAGATGATTTGGAATCAAGGATGAAGATAATTTGAATTGAGAGCAATCTCAAGGGCTACATGAATTTCTCTCAAATTATTCTAGTTCGTGGCACTTCCTTGTCATTCCTGTCCTTTGCTCCAAGAGAGAAGTAAATGGAGAGCAGTTAACCCCTCAACCCTTATGTGTTGGGATGGTGACCTCTGATCTTGCACTTGATCGGAATGCTCCGAGAAGTCATTGTATGATACTAAACTCCAAGCCATTTAGTTACCCAAGTAAATGAAGACTGGACCTATAAGGGTTATGGAAATTTAGGAATCCAAATTCACATACTTGAGCAGATAAACCACAAAGCAAATGATATCTAGATAAATTTGTTTAAGTGGAAGGCAGTGGAGCGTATATGTCATGGCGCACCTTATCGTGATGTGAAGAATTGTTGGACTGTGGTCTCAGATGTGTGACACTAGTTATGAAAAAGTAAGAATAGACTTGGTAGCAGGAGAAAGCACTTTCTGACACTGCCCACTGCATTATCGATTGCTCTGTTTAGGCGAAGAGGAGGAGGAAGATAAACTACCTCGAAGGGAGAGCTTGAGACCAAAGAGAAAACGGACCAGAGATGTGATCAATGAGGATGACCCAGAACCTGAACCAGAGGATGAAGAAACAAGGAAGGCAAGAGAAAAAGAGAGGAGGAGGCGGCTGAAGAGAGGCGCGTAAGTTAGTTCTGATATACATAAGTGAAAGTGTTACTGATTGAGAAACGCCGGACACTGAAAGAAGACCACTTCCTTTAGGCACTCTCTGGCCTTAAAGTCACGAATTAAAACCACTTTAGAAAGACAGGCTTCATCTGATGCTGCCATTTTACTCCACTTAATTAAATGTATTTCAATAATTAAAATAGAATTTTTAAATGAATATATATTAAAAAGGAACCATAAGAAATTCTCTTATGAAAGATCTAAATTGTCATAGGTCATTAACATATTATAGTTAATTTAAATATTTTAAAATTATTTGTTAATTGTATGCATTGTTATTTAAGTAGAAAGCTCCCCAAAAGTGAACCCTAATCACTTTATCTTACAGAGCAGGGGTTGGCAAACCGTGGCTACATCTAGCCCAAGAACTAAGAATGGTTTTTACAGTTTTACAGGGTTATTAATCGAAAACAAAGATGAATATGGGACAGAGTTGTATGTAGCACTTAAAGCTTAAAATATTAACCATTTGGCCCTTTACCAAAAGAAAGTGCTGTCCTCTGTTACAGAAAATTTGGGTTGTCATTTCCTTTTTAAAACATCCTAGTATCTTTAGTTTTATCAGGGCAAAGTTTTACTGAACTCTGAGTTTGTATAGGATAATATATTAAATACTGTTTAGAGAAAATCCAAGAAAATAATTTTCTTGTCTTTATTTTCCGGAAATTTCTGATGGCAGGCCGGTAGGAAAAGTGTACACGTAAAACACATCTAATAATAGAAAATCTAGACCTCTCAGAAAGAGTTAAAGGGAACTGTCAACCTGTTCTGCTGCTCATGGTAACAGGGCCCTGTGAATCACCATGAGGTGGTGGAATCTCCTCCAAACACTTCTAGCACTTTATTTTTTTTAATTAAAAAAAATTTTTTTTTTTGCAATTTCATATAGTTTATTTTATTTAGTCCACATGTAGCAAGTTTTTCAGCAGTTAGCTACAATTTTACATGCATTTATGTTCTTGGTGTCTTTTCACTCATTTTCCTTTGTCTTATAATATATGTCTAATTCTCTAATTTAATGTTGATTAGAGGTTAATCCATGTGAAAATACATTTTCTCCAGTCTGCCAGAAGCCAAAGTCTGAATATTTTCTTATTTTTTTCCCTCTTAGTGTGAATCATTTATCAGTCTTTCTTATAGACCCTACATGGCATATCTAAACAGTTACTCCTAGGACTTTAAATGATAAAGAATATTCTAGATGTCCTGCCAAGATGCCACACTCCAGTACTCAATGACTCATTACATTACTTCTCATAAATAATTTCTATTAAATACAACTATACGAAGTTTTTGTCAGGTAAAGAAGCCTAGCGCTAATAGACAATATTTCCTGTTAGGATAAAAGTGTAACCTCATCCCTTTCTTTGTTTTATATTATTTAAGTTTTAAAATTTTCCTCCTCCTCCCCTTCCTCCTCCTAATCTATTTCCTCCTTTTCCTCCCCAAGCTCATCCACTTTCTTCTTTGAATACCAAGACATCATTTGCTTTAAGTTTTGACTCTGGTAGTATTTTTTATTTATGTCCTTTTCAAGTATCTTTATACAATGTTCCTTTCAAAATACAACACAATTTTAAGTCCTGTTTATTATTATAATTGTTAGTGCCATTATTATGTAATAGCATTTCCTACTAGCAAAGTGGTATTCTGACAGTGGCATTTCATGGAGAAAGCATCACTAATGGACACATGCATGATATGGGTCATGTTCCAAAATTTGCTTTTCCTCTTCACCTATGCCTCAGAAAAATCCTTCTAAAAAGGTGAGTTGGGTGGGAATTCCTCTGTTCTCTTGTTCTGCTTAGGGTCCTCATGTCAACTGCTCAACCCTTAGAAAATAGGGCCATGTGAATTAGCTGGGTCTTTTCCCTATGACAGTGCCTCTCTTTAGCTGGTCCCACACTCATCTGATTTTGAGTAACCCATAAGCACTCATGCCTCCTGTTGGGAAAATAGAATAGTTCAATCAGGCCCCCTCACCTCAGGTCCAGTTGGGTGTGGTGCAACACATTCTGTGTAAACAAACTCTGTGTGTGTGTGGGTGGAGTTAGTGTGCATGTGTGCCAATGTATCTTTTTAGTTTTGTTGTTATTCTGGTGTGTTCTTGAGAGTTGTGTGGAGGGCCAGCTTTGAACTTATGGCCAGCAGAGAGCTTATGTATATAAATAGAGCATGTTTACTTTGCTGGCAGCTGCTCAGTTTTTCTTTGGACTTTGCCAGTAGCAGTTGAGTTTTGAGTTTGTCTTTGGACTGCTGAGCTCCTAGACGTGTGTGAGCAGAAATAAAGACTACTCTTTCTTCAACCAAGGCTCCAAGGACCTTTCTTCCAGTTACCTAGCTCGTAGACCTGTGTGTGAAGGGTTTGTGACCCAGTCTGGACAATGGGCTTGAGGGGTCTATGAGCTCCAGACCCAGCCCTAGCTCTACACCTCCCTATCTCTTCACTCCTCCACATAGCCCAACTTTGTCTCCATAAATTTTACAAGTTATTTTATCACTTACACAATTTGCACATGCAATCTAAATAGTATCATAAATTAGTGATGATTGCTACTTCCGATCTCTATTTTAGCATCCATTTTCTATGGAACATTTTGAAGGTAAGAATTTTTTTTTTTTTTAAAGAAAATGCATGGAAAACATATTTTGAGGAAGATTAGTAGGCAAATCTGGGCATGTTTATTTAGGTTAATTAATTCAGGGTCTTTTTTATTTAAATGTTCAAACAATGCCTCAGGGATTTCCTTTGCACTGGTAAAATATTTGAGACCAACTAAAACCAGGGTTGTAATGCTAACTATCTTTGGAGATGGTTAAAGAACACTGCCTTGTTAGACATTTTGGAGTATATCTAATAATATTACAGGTTTTTCCTGACCCAGTTTTAAGTGAATAAGTAATTTGTTCATCACAGTGAGAAATTCAGCATATTATGCCTTCTTTTTTCTTAACAGCTATTGTTTAAATAGGTCATACTTAAGATAGAAAGTTATTCTTGCACAGATTAGCCCTAACTTTTAGGAGATTAAACATGCTTATGCTATACTCTTTTAATATGATCAGCTCTTTTTATGAGTGGTTCCTGGAAAAGCATTTCCCTGTAATGCTCGTGAGAGTAATATTTTAACTACCTACATATCTGAAGGTAACTTATTTGTCAACCACTGTACCCTAAAGCATGGCATGATCCTCCTGGGAGCAATCAATAATTAACAACAAAGACTTTAAAAGTACACCAGTCTGGGATCATTTAGTGTGGGAATAATGTCTTCTTATACTATAATAATCTTGATGGGCATTGCTGTATTTTGGTGTACTTGGAGCCCTGGGTTCAGTATAATAACCCTGAGTGATCCAGAAAAGTTCTGTACATATACATTTATTCGGTAAATATTTATCCAGCTCCACAAGTTCATCATGGAGTAAGGAAAAAGTCATTTAGACACAGATTATTATGAAAGAACACAGTATATATGTGCCAAAGAAGTACAAGTGGTTTGGAGTCTCAGTGAAAACTGTACTCATAGAAATAATCAGAAAAGGGGTTATTGAAGACATTTCATATGATTTTTTTTAAGAAATCACAGAATTTGGATAGGCTAAATATATAAAGTATGTAATTAGTGTTAGAAAAGTTTCCACTAAATGATTTCTAAAATTTGGCCTGTCAAAATATAAGCTTTAGTACCATGGTAAATCCACACATTGAATAGATCATTCTTTTGTTTTTTGATGATCCTGGGTTAAATAAGATGCTGTTTTATATATGATTCTTAATGGAAGTTCAGTAATGTAAGGCTTTAAGATATTTATATGTAAAAGTTGTGAATTATTTTGGAAGGGTGGGCAAATTAAGGACTTAAAATATCAAGCAATTAAATTATTCATCTTAAGCTTTTTTTTTTCCTTCTAATTGACTTTGTAGTTTATTGGGATTTATTTTCTTTTAGTTTTGCTAGTTTCCATAAAGATTTCAGTTAAACAGTTATCTATATAATTTAGATTTATGTCTGTGTCTACATGGAAACAATTTAAATCATTTTTATTAAAACATATCTTTCCTTTCTAAGATGAACCAACCCACACATCATTCTAACTGGCAAATTAAAACAAAACAAAACAAAACAAAAAAACCCCACTATGAATATAGGTGTAGTACAAAAAAAAAAAAAAAAATCCCTAAGTATTTTATGCCCTGGTTGTGCAGCACTACAGGCTCTTATATAATACACACCAAATAATTAAAATAGTAACAACCCAATGGCAATCACAATTGTATGTTAGTAGAGTGTACTTCCACAGTTCTCTTGAAACAGGACCACTCTTCTAAGAAAATATTCAAATTGCCCAAAAAACAGTCAATAGGAAGTGTTATTTCTAAGGGTTAATATGAATTTTTGCTTCAGTAATCATGGCATGTTTAAAAACTATGGATTGGTGGCAAAGGACAGAGACTGCAAAGTTATTTTGTAGGGCAGGCTGTAACACTGTCCTCTTGTTCCTCAGCTAGAACTTTAACAAATAGCTTCTGCCATATTCCTGCTGTGTCAGGTCATGAGCTTATTGAACAACAAAATATGTTTCTGAGTAACAGTGAATCAGATCACAATTTTTTTTTTTAATCAGTCAGGATCTAGGGAGGAGAGAAACTACAAGAGTTAATTAAACAGAGAAAATTTAATAAGAATTGTGAGGAGGTATAAATAATTAACTGGGCTGTTAACTGTTAACTAAGGCGAAAAGAGAACACTAACGTATCTTGGTAACTACAGGGAAGCAGCTAGCACTCTGAGGGCTGGAGCAACAATGGGAAGGGTTGAGATGAAAACTTTGAAGTGTAGAAGAGACACTCATGAAGCTGAAACTCAGACCTCTGTGGATGGGCTGAGGATCAGCACGACTGATTTTTATAGGGGGGTGGGGACGGGTGGTGAAGCTGATTCTGCTGGTGTTGGTAAACTTGGCAAACTAGATCCATCTGCTGCTATGGGAAAGACCCTCAGCTCCTGGAGTGAAAAAGTGTTGCTAAGGAGGAAGTGTTGCCCTGAGAGGCAAACAGGAAGCAGACAGGAAGCCAAAGAAAAGATCGAGCCCCTTCTTAGTATCCCCAATTGTCAGAGTCTAATACTAGCTGGCTGACAAAGCAGAAATGTGACTCACAGAGTCCCAGCCCCAGCACCGCAATATTAAGTATAGAGGGTGTGTGTGAAGTTGAGAACATAGCTTCATAACTGAAAGAATCTGTTACCAAAAAATTGATCTCTACTAAATGGTATTACATTCCTGGATTTAAAATCATGTTGCTCATGTTTAGATTTTGTTTTCTTTGAGTTCTAGACCTTATAGTGTTTTTGTAATACTAGAAGAGAAAAGATACACCTCATTTGCTCAGTAAAAAAACTAAATTCCTTTGAAGTCCTTTTAAAGGACTCATTTCTACCAAATATATTTCAAGTTGAATTTTATCAGTTGAAGTTTGAGTTTAATTAACAGATTAGGTTATCTTTGAGAAATAAATTTTTATTTTTTCCTATTTCAATTTTTCTGTCTTTCTCTTGAGACAGAGCTAACTTAAAACTTTTAAGATCACTTCAATTACATCTTCACCTCTAATTTATTATCCTAATTGAAAAATAAAATGCCTAAATGGAATGTAGAATTGGTCGGAGAGGGGAACAGAGCAGAGAGGGAAATGTCTTGATGGATCTGTAATTATTCTTTTCTAGTTATGAGAGTTTGAGGCTCTGGACATGAAAGAATAGTCCAATTTCATGACAAAAGTATGCAAATACTATTGTTTAAAGTGATCCTGCATCAATGTTCAGATCTGAGTTCTAATGCTTGTGGGTCTTAGCATCGACTATATAATTGTACAGCCAAGTTAAAAAACCTGGGCTGCTCGAGTCAGGCAGAAAAAAAGAAATTCCACATGTTCTCACTCATTGGTGGGAGCTAAAAAAACAAACAAATTAATTCACCCACATACACACACAAAAAAAACCCGGGGGGGTGGGGAAGAAGATATAACAACTATACTTTTATGAAGTTGTTACAACAAGCAAACGGAAAGGACATTCTTGTGGGGGAGGGGAGAGAGGGAGGAGGGAGGGAGGTGTCAGTGACAGGCCATAATAATCATATACATTGTATATTGACAAAATAAAAATTTAACGAAAAAAAAAACATGCAAGATTGGGAAACTTGAAAAAAATAAAATAAAATAAATAAATACATAAAAAGAAAACAACCTGGGCTGTATATCTGATTTCAGTCTTCCTTAAGTTTGGAAGTCAAGCAAGGCTTAATTTATCAAGGATTTTTTTTTTTCTTTTAAAGGGAGGAGGAAGAAGAAGAAATTGATGAAGAGGAATTGGAAAGATTGAAGGCAGAGTTAGATGAGAACAGACAAATGATTGCTACTGTCAAATGCAAACCTTGGAAGATGGAGAAGAAAATGGAAGTTCTCAAGTACGGTGTCACTTTTCATAAGTAGAAACACTTTCCCTGGTATTGATCTTCTAAATCCTCTGAGTATTACTTATATATTATAGATAATGCTTTATATATAATATATTACAAATATATGAAACATTCATATTATTGTATATGATGCTCATAGTCATATAAACATATATATCATAGTATAGGCATATATACATATATATGTCTCATATTCCTAGAGAGACTGGGCTAATGATTATAAATTGGAAACAACAATAAGCAAATTTATTATTTGGGATGTTATAAATTCTGTGTTCACCTTTAATTGTTTCTTAAACTGGAGTTTTCTTAGTTTAATGCATTCATTACTGTCACTGTAAAAGAAATAATATATTTAAATTTTACAAATTTGTGTGGATTGAACTGCAGGGTCCCAGTCTCAAATGACCTTTTTGTGTGACAACTCTCATTAAAGCACAAGGAGGTTGTTAAGCCAACAGAACAGTAAATAGGATTCCAATTAAGGGTTATGTTAATAGGTATTCCCTGGTAACATGTCAGTGACCCAATTTCAGTTTTATGTTGACTGCTGATGTGGGTGCAAAGACACCCACGACACACAGATTTATAAACTCCTCATATGCAAAGTCAAATGATTATCCCATTCCAGGTGATGGGAGCATATTTGTCCCTGTGGACCACACTATATTTCCTTACTCTGGTGGTTGGGGGAGGCTGATTGTGAAAAAGGGAACTTGTCGTGATAATAGCCATGTTTGCATCTCCCAATTTTGCCACAGATTGTGTTTTACTACAACCATTTTTCTAAATAGTGGAAAGTTTGCAAAACTATCCCCCAACAAGCCTATCTAACTAATAATGCTGTTAAAATGATAGTATGGTATTATTGCCTCTGTTGAGGAAAAAAAGAAGTGAAGTAGCTATCAAGATAATTCACTTCTAGTCTTGGCTCTTCAAGAGCTTGTGTGATTTGAAGAAATAGCTTAACCTCCTGGAGCCTCAGTTACTTCATACCCTAAATAAAGGAAGATATTCTTGATCTTCCCTGTGTGCTTGGAATCTAGCCATTATTTATAGCATTATTGTTTTGTTTTGTGGAGCAAGGTTTTCCAAGTTCCGAACAACGGTCTTCCCATACACCACACAACTGTGGTCTGGGAACTCCCAGGGCATGCACATGTACACATCCACCGTGAGTGCAGGTAAAGGCAGGCAGCATCCCTGTTCCATGGAGCTGCTATACTAATGTGTGTATATGCATGTGTGTGTGTGCACATGTGCATGTGTCTATATGTAAAAATAGTTTTTGTTTAATGAAGTGATAATGATGCTAAATTATAGGTTTTAAAAATGTTCTTAGGCTGGCTGGTTACTCAGTTGATTAGAGTATGGTGCTGATAACACCAAGGTCCAGGGTTCCATCCCCGTACTGACCAACACCTGCCCCCTCCCCCCAAAAAAAGTCTCTTTTGACAAAATGTGAGTTTGGTAACCTTATGCTGGCCCCCAAAATATATTTTGAAATATTAATGGCCCATGAAATCCCAAACCTGGGAACCACAGGTAATTGCATAGAGAAAGTTGTAAAATTAGAAAATGATAATATTGTGAACTTTCAAAACATAAATCTAAGTAAAAATGCCAAGGGGTATCCCTCCTTTTCAACTGCATGGGGGATAGAAATAGCCCCACTCTCCCTTGCCTGTGTCTCTCATGCAGGACAATGGCTCAGATCTAGCATTGAATAGCTGTGCAAATTTGGATGAGTTATATAGTTACTCTGACCTCAAGTTCCTTATGAAATTATACTTATTGTTAGGGTTGTTAGAATCATAAAATGAGATAATTTATACAAAACACTTAGAATGGTGCCAGAAGAAAGCACATAGCTGGGAAACACAAATTGCAATTATTATTTTATCTCCAGACAGACTCAATGATACCTGATTCCTTGCAGGGTGACAGGAGAGATGGAGAGGGCTTGGGATCTGGCAGGGCTAGGCAGGAGCAGGCCTAGCCACAGGCAAACCTCAGGATCCTTACAAGATGGTGGCACATTGTAGAAGTTTGGATAAACAACCAAATTTTGAGGCTCTGACAAAAGGAAGTAGGGTGTCTTGACTATTTGGCAGAATCCAGGGCCAAACCACTCTTAGATTATCTAAAAGGGTCTGGGGTCTTGGTGTGGAGTCCAAGAAATAAGCAGTGTTTAGAAATAGGGAGAGATGGGGATTGGCATTGGAAGGAAGGGCAGCACCAGGCCTTGGTGCTAGGACACGGGAGTCTGCAGCTGAATCTGGACTGTAGGTGTATTGTATTTGACCCACATGTTTTTTGTTTCTTTTTCTCTTTTATTATTATTTTACTGTGGCAAAAATATATGACATAAAATTTACCATTTTATGTATTTTTTATAATAACAATATTTCTTTTTTGTCAATCTTTTAAAAGTGGGAGGTTTTACATAAAATAACCCCCAGATGCTCAGCTTCTCATGGCTCTACATTTCCATGTGAAAATAACAGCCAGGGCTAAGCCAGAACTGCCCCCTCTTAGCAGGACACCCACTCTTCAGTGTGCACAGTTCTCCAAAAATCCACATCGCTTGTTTATGCTACTCAGCTGGACCTTGTGGGCATTCAAATTTGTGGCCTCCTACCAGTGCAGCTGGAGAGCAGGCTGGGCGTGCTACCAAGACAGGGATTCAGACCTTCAAAGCCAAAGTCAGCTTGCAGAATAGAAGCCCAAATTTAGGCCCTGTCAGGAAGGCTCAATGTCTTGTGATGATTCTCCATGCCACAAATGGTGCCTGCTTTGTGGCTGCATCCGTGGGTTGCAGATGGTGCCAATGGCCATGGCCAGCCTGATTCTCTTGGTTTTGGCCTCTTTGATGAAGTTGGCACTAAAGTGCCCAACTTGTCTCCTTTCGTAGGTTTCTGAGTGCTGTATTGAGCTTCTTCCCCATAGATTCTAATCACATTGTTACAACACATGGTCAAGACTTCACAGTACACATAGGTACATGATTCTCTGCCCTGGTGTTACCAATGCATAGGAGTCAGGAAGCTTTCTACCCACCCCTTATTTCTTTCAAAGACATCTAACTCTGAGAGAGAATTTCTAAGGATTGTTATTTCTAGAATTATCCTCCAGCCACTGCTCCTGGCTAAGTCCATGAAATCCAGAACACTAGTCTCAGTATAACTGGAGCAGAGGCTTTCATCACAGGTTTGGATCTGTGTCTGGGTTCCAAGTTCTCTTCTGGTTCTGGATTCAGAAAAACTTGTGAAATTTCTAAAACAGATTTTAGAGAGTGTTAGGGTTTCAAGATTTATCTTAGAGTAAAGCTTCAAGAATGGTGGCTTCTGGTTCTGAGGATATTATGGGAGACTCAAAGGGATAGTCTGCCCACATTTTTAGAGAACATCTACCTATAGGAACATGGGCATCCTCAGAGATTAGGGTAAAAAGAGGGTTAATGTAAGCAGTTGCTACAGAGTCTAGAAGCTCTAGGAATGGGCTGTGAATCCATACGAACACTCGCACATGGCTCAGGAACTGGTGTTCGGCATTTTCTAGGTAGTGGAATTGCTTCTCTAGAGAGGAAGCCACCTCCTTTCTACTATCATTGTAGAACAGTGCTTTTCATTGTATGCTTTACTGTATGTTACCATAGTTTCACACATTCATGTATCCTTAAACCTACTAGATAACAATTTCTGGGTGGAAAGGCAGGTGTGTCTGGCCCAGATCAGGAATGTGTATTTTTATTTTTTACTGTAAAAATCACTGGTATACACTCAGGATTGAGAGCCAATATTTTTAATTTTGAGAATCAGAAATCTTTATTAAGAAGGGATTCTGCTCTGTGGATGGTTTATTGAGTGGGGGAAGTTATATATGGGAGTTGTAGGGAGAAAAGGAAATAGTGGTATATTTCCCAATTATTTGAAAGTCAATTCCTATTTTTTATTAGCTTACTTTAAAATACTCATCAGCAAGAGTATTAAGTGTAATCTGTTTTTAAGTTGTTCATGGGTTTAACTCAGAAGTTGGATGACTCGGTCTTTCCTATCCGTAAGAGGCGGTGGTGCTAACCTGACCGCAGCTGAAATAAAACACCTGGGTAGAAAAAGAACAGGCCTACTTATTACTCATCCTGAAACTGAAGACCTTTAACTCTATCAGAACATTATATGTGGCGGATCAAAAGCCTTCATGACTAAACCTAAATCAACAGCCCCCTTATTTTGTTGTTGTAGAATAGATTTTGGACTTAAAATTAAGAAACGTGGATTCCAATCTAAGCGCACCTCTAACTATACCTCTTTGAACTTCAGTTTATTTACTTATACAACAAAGAGGTTGGATTGTGGCCTATGGTTTTCAGACTGCTGTCCTCAGAGGTCAGGTGGTTTGGTGAAACAGTTCAGGGCAGGGGAGGCAGAACTCCAAAGGGGGGGGACACTTGGTCACGATGGTGGCTTTAACCAAAACAGACCTACGGGGTGTCTCTCTTACACAGTGAACTTCCATATAAAGCATTCATTTGAAGAATGCTTCTGTGGCTATTCAAATAAGAAACAGTTAATAAAAACAACAACAACTACGACGACAACAAAAATAACCACTTAACTGGATATTTAAAGAAGATTATTTTGGGGAAGGGACAGTTCTAACATTATAGGAGTCCACAAATGAAGATACAGGAGTATTCCAGGCATACTTTGGTGTGGAGGGGGCATGTAAAAAGGTATACACCATTTTACAATTACTTATTTTGAGATCAAAAATGTTTATCTAGCTATTATATTGACTGCTTTAATTTCTGAGCTTTATAGCACTCTGACCCGATGATCCTGGGAGTTGTCCATTGGCAGACTGTGCCTGCTGATTTATTAATGAGACACCCAGTAAAGCCAAGAAAGTTACCCTTAGGATTTCACTTACACTTAAGCAGGTGCTTGAAACTGTCAGCTAGCCAGTAAGGTACCATTCCTCCTTAA